TATATATATATATATTGATTATTATCTTTTATATACAAGTTGTTTTAAAAATGAGAATTAAAAATTAACAGAGAATTAATTTCAAGCAATTTTTCAAAAATTTGAAAAATAAAAATTAAAACATTAACTCATCACAATTAATAGAACTAAATAAATTCTATTTATTTAATAAACATAACATTAAATGCATAATATTAAATAACAGCAAAAATACTCGGATCGATGACTGATCGCCAAAATATTTTTATATTATACCACGTATTGCAAATTATCGTTTACGAAATTATGAATACAATAATTATTCTCCGGAATAAAATTAAACCTGTACTTACAATATACGTTGTTCAATCACAAACATTTACCAAAAACGGAACAATGCCGATCAATCAATACAATACAAACGAACGATTTCCGGAGATCTGTCCAGTTTATTAAATACTTTTTATGAAACACATTTTCATAAAATCGGTTAATAATCAAGGATCCTTTGTTATTCCATTCGTTCCGATATTAACGGATACAATGGGAATACGTCGAGCACAATGGATGGATTATATCAAATATAGAATATATATATATACGTGTTACATGGATGAAAACAATAAGGAGGAGGATACAAACCGGTGAGTACTGCGCCGACGAGCATAAAGAGGAAGCCGAATGCCGGAAGAGCAATCTGGCAGTTCGCAGCTATTACAACCCCAGCTACCATCAGGCCACCCTCGATCTTCTCCACCCTCAAGCGTGATATAGGGGTCGGACATTTTAATTTCGCCCCGAGTCCGCCACTCAGCGCACCCTCCTCAGCCGCCATGGTGCTGGGCCTGTAATAATAGATAAACAACAAACGCTTTTTAGTCAATTAACGGGTGACACTGATGCCGAATGATTGATATTGAATCATGTATTACATTGCTTCGATTCTACGAAATCGAGAATTCTTCGAAAAATCTTAATCTTCAAGACGATGATTTATTAAGCGAAGTATTTTTTTTTTTTTTTTTTTTTTTGCATCATTTTACGTTTCACGATTCGTTTTGTTGATTTGAATCCAATATATAGGAGGAAAATATCATAAAGAAATATGACTAACGAGATGTTACTTATACGTAGTAAGTGTAGTGAGAAGTAGTTCCCCCTTCTCAGTTCATAGTGATCTTATCTGAAGATGTAACACTTTCAGTCACTATTATTTTTTATGAATGCATTGGATTCATAGAGAAATCGACCAATCAGATTTCGTTTCGAAAGGCTTCTTATCAGCCGGATACATACACTTATTATTATTACTTAGTTATACTAACAACTTTATTATCTTTCTAAACTGTAGGAAACAGAATTCATATGTCTGTAATTTTCCACAGTCTACGAATAATTTTCGATATTTTGAGGAAACGTACGAGTATAAAATTTAAATCGATATAAATAGGATAAATAAAATTATGATAAAAGTTGTTTATTGAAAGGTGTGGTGAAAAAAAAACGGGCTCAGCCGGGATTTGAACCCGGGACCTCTCGCACCCAAAGCGAGAATCATACCCCTAGACCACTGAGCCGGTTGCTTTTGTACGTTCTTGCTGGCATACTTTCCATCGCGCAATAAACTTACATAACGAATTATTTTTTAAAATATTTTCGTTTCCGTGTCTCGTAACAAAACGAATTTATGATTAAAAAATGAAATATTAGAAATATAAATGTATAAATTTAAAATCTAATGAAATGTTTTTTTTTCTTTCCATAAAAATTATTCTCTTTTAATGTAATGTCATTTATTTACGTTTGTTTTAATTTTATTTGTTTCTTTGATTTCGATTTTGTTATAAATACAATTTTTATTAAAAAGAAATTGTAAAGAATTATACGTAAAAAATTACTTAAAAAAGAAAAAAAAAACCGGGCTCAGCCGGGATTTGAACCCGGGACCTCTCGCACCCAAAGCGAGAATCATACCCCTAGACCACTGAGCCTCTTGGTGGAAGCTTCTCCAAGTTACATTCATAAAAACGCGAGTAGTTATACTTTAAATATTTTACCTAATTATTATAATTTTTTTATTCATTTATTTTCAAACTTTGATAACAACTTAAATATCGATATTAAAATATTTCTAGAAGCCTATTTTATTATTAATTTGTTTTTGTTATAGTATAAAATATTTAAAATGTAAGTATATGTATTTTTAAAGGAATTTTCAGGAGATAAACATTTTTATTCATTTATATACGAGTATTTATTAAATTTTATATAAATATTTTACAGAAATATGATGATTTTATAATATTTAATGTTTTCAAAACTATACTTTATTCTTGTTTTAAAAAGTGAATTTTTAAAAATACAAATATGTAAGGTTATTCTTTGATAGCTTTTTAATCTCATATCAATTTTCTAAGTTTAGCAATCAATTATCGTGGAATACATTTTATAGAACTTATCCAAGAGCATCGCATATTTCTCAGTACTTTGTATAATGAACATTTTCATTTAGATAAAATTGAATGGGTCAATAATATTAGAACGTCAGCATTCTTCGACTTGTTGATTTGTTTTTTAGCGATAAATTAACTCTGTTGTACATGTAAAAATAATAAATAAAAATTATTAATTCAATTCGAATAGTTTAAACATTATGAAATTTTTATCAAAGAAATAAAATGAACAAATGAAAATTTTCACAATTTATTTAAATTCCTCATAACTTAATAAATAATAATAAATATTTTTGAATATCAACTTTTATATTTATTTTCGTTTCTAGAATTGAGAATTCTTCCTAAAATATTTCACAAATGCGTATAATGGCACGATAAATGGGATCGATGAATCAGAGCGAAACATCGAAATTTGAACTGTCGAAAGTTGAAGAAAATCATCACTGATTCACGGAAACATAGATTCTAAACAGCTGTCATGAATATTTATAGGAAAATCTTATATATCCAGGTTTTATAGAACCGATAAACAACAACAATTCTCGATTCTCGTGAAAGTATTTATGAATAAAAGAAAAAGAATAAGTAACAAGAGGTAAAAGAAAAGAATCTCTAATTTTCATACTTTTCTCTTCCACGTTTCTCTTTCTCCAACATTTTTCAAACATTTCGTAGCCAACGTAGCTTCATCCATGAATATCTAATTTACATCACAGATTTTCACAATTTACATTCTTAATTCACCGATTGTAAAAATCGGTTTAAACGCCATATCTTATCGTACAATAAACAAGAATCACTTTATTCATTTTCCAACACGTAAAACAGTTGGAATACGCAGTTACGCGAAAGAATTACATAGTTTGCTTTACACAGAAGCAAAAAAAAAAAAAAAAAAAAAACATCAAGTTGGAAGTCTGAAAATTTAATTAACAGACGAATATCTGCATAAAGAAAAACATTGTTTCTGTGCGAAGCGGTAGTGACAAAATCGTGTAAAGTTGTTAAACGTTGGTTGGTCGGTGTTTACGGGGTCGGATAATTGAATTGGGCATTGTCGTACAATGCCTTCGTTTGTTAATTCCATCGTGAAGCAAGAGAGAGACAGAGACAGGGACAGAGAGAGAGAGAGGAGAGAGAGAGAGAGAGAGAGACGCATCCCCGTGAAGGAAAGTTAATTGGCGCAAATGCCCTTTACGAGCCACTGAGCCGGTAAACGACACGTTCTATCATTCTCGCCAATTAGAATAGTTTATTAATCAACTAACATTGCTCTTAACCTATTAACCGTGCATCATTATGTACGAGTGCGTACTCGACACGAAGAAATGATAATTTGTCGTGTGTTACAACAAGAGTTATATTATATATTCGTCGTCTCTTTATTTTTAGACATTGATTTAAACACAGTTTTTAGGGCAACAGATTAAAACTGGTTCTGGTATTAGTGAATTTTTAATCGATTAACCGGTTTCCATCTGTGTATCACTGATCACACAGGATCTTGTAATAAAACTTGGTTATTTTTCTTGATGAAAAACGAATTTTGAAGATATTTGTAATATTTTTCAGTCAATTACTTGATTATCACACAATGGTGATTCCAATTAATTTTGGATTGATGTATTGGAATCTTACAAATTTTTAATTTTGACAAAATTTTATTATAGAATTATATAATTAGATATTCGAAAGAAAATTATAGAAATTTTATATTTACAATATTTTAGTAACAGAAATAGTAACAGAAAGATTCTATGTGCTATTCAGATGTGTAATAAATATATCTTGTTTATTATTTTGGATCTTAGACAAGAAGATCACATTTTCCTGTAAAGCTACTTTCAACAATCATATCCAAAATTATTTTCTTTTTTTTTTGTACAATCTCAACGTTTGTCTTTAAGAAACAGTTTTATAAAACTTATGTTGAATTTTTGAAAAGAATATCTGCATATTTCTGAATATTTAAATAATATTAATAAATAAGAATTTAAAAGCATTAATTTCTGCAAATATATTTTTTTTAAGTATATGAATGGAAGAAATTTGTAAAAAATACAATTAAATATTCTTGATAAAATCGATAATTTAAGGATTATGTAATTATTAATTCCACGATTGAATAATTTAAATGTTACATAACTTGAATGTAACTACAATTTATATACATTATCAACTCAGCGGTTTAAAATTTTAAAAAGATTAATAAATATTTGAATAAATAATAAATTTCATTTCTGCTTTAATGTAAATAGAATATAAATATTTTTTTTATAATTTTAAATTTTCATAAAAAGAAAATTAAAATATTTTTTTAAATTGAATTACTAGAATAATTATTGGAATACTATATAATTATTTTTCCAGATAAATATTAATAGACGTAACAGCAAATTCTGCATTAACAAATGCGAAATCTTTTCTATTTCGCTTAAAGTATTTTTAACTTGTAAATTAAAAAATATCAAGTAAGTGCAAATAAAAAACGATCACCTTTAATATTCTTAATCTTTTATTTTATTTTTATTAATGTTTTATAATGTTTAATTTTATTTAATGTTTTGCTTAAAATAACTTTGTAACGAGTCATTTATATCTTCAAATACAACTTCACTTTAATTTAGTTAGAAAACTTTCGAAACTTTGAACATTCAATGAATATCATTTCTACGAATAAAAATTATAAATATAAATTCTGCTATATTTCGCTAATATAAATTATAATGATTAATTTGCGAATAAATAATATAACTTTCTACATTTTATTTCATTATCTTCCAATAATAAAAGTGCAACATGGATCAAAATTAAATAAACCTGATCTGATCATTCTTCTTCTGATCATCCATCGTAATTAAATTTTCATTTTTTCACTTAATTTACGCAAAATATGATAGAGTATAATTTATTTAAATACCTCTATGAATAATAATTAATAAATATAAATTCCAATAATAAATTCTCATCGCCTAGTTCTTCTACATAATATAATACATATTTCAAACGAACATAAATATAAATTCTCATCGTCTTTTCCAATTTACACGAAGAACACGAGATCGAGATGTAGTAAACAAGAATCGAAGTAAAAAGGATACAGCCTTGATATTTGAAAAAAAAAAAAAAAAGGGTAGACCAGCGTTGTAACAGCGTTTCTCGCGTTCTTCTTCACGAGAGGAGCACAGGAATGGTTGCTCCTCTCCTTTTTGGAAAATGGAAAGGAAAGGGAAGAAAAGGAAGCGGAGACGATGGGTGCCGGGGAAGGGGGAGAAATTTCATTTTTCGTCAAGTTTTACACGACGTCCAACCGGTTCCATGGCGACCAACAATGTCGCATTCGCGACGAGCAGCGTGAAAAGAGCAGGGGGCGTCGTCGGTTTTGCGCG